GTTACCCAGGCTGGAGTGCAATGGCGCGATCTCGGCTCACCACAACCTCCGCCTCCTGGGTTCAGGCAATTCTCCTGCCTCAGCCTCCCGAGTAGCTGGGACTACAGGCATGCGCCACCATGCCCAGCTAATTTTTGTATTTTTAGTAGAGACGGGGTTTCACCATGTTGACCAGGATGGTCTTGATCTCTTGACCTCGTGATCCACCCGTCTCGGCCTCCCAAAGTGCTGGGATTACAAGCGTGAGCCACCGCGCCCGGCCTAGATCTTAGTTACTTATTACAAGTCACAGGAGCCAGGATGGAATTAGCCTGGCCTGCTTATTTTAGTTATTACTGGTAAGCAAAGGCTAGCAATTCTGGCACAATATCACAAACAAAAGAAAAACTGGAGACATGGCTGGGCGCCGTGGCTCATGCCTGTAATCCCAGCTCTTAGGGAGGCAGAGGCAGGAGGACAGCTTGAGCCCAGGAGTTCAAGACCTGGCTGGGCAATATAGCAAGGACCCGTTCTCCAAGGAAAAAAAAAGTTAAAAAAAAAGAAAAACTGGAGGCTTTAGAAAATTTAGTTACTGAACAACACCTGAACAAACCAAGGAAGAAACTCTAAGGCAGTTAATCTGGTGGTGAGACCCACTCACAAAGAATTGGAAAGAGGCAATGTAATAAGATGGGGGAGAGGATTTGCTTGTATTTCTGCAGGTCCAAATCAACAACCTGTGTGGGTACCTTCCAGACATTTAAAGCCATACTATAAGCCAAATACCAAAAAAGAGACTTGCAGAGGAACCCCGCAGTCACAGAGATGACGAGACTAACATGGAGGTGGAGTAGTGCTTCCACGGCGGGAACACGCCAAATAGCACCAGCGACTTGGGGTCAGATGAAAGAAGCTTTCACAAATAGCGGAGGAAAACCTGAAGAAAGCAGGAAAGCCTATTATGCTAATCACGGTGACGGATATCGTGATTAAAGTGAGCATTTCTGGAGTTGGGATAGAAGTAAAAGAAAGTGCCGGGAACGGTGGCGCGGGCCTGTAGTCCCAGCTGTTTGGGAGGCTGAGGCTGGAGGAGCTCTTGAGTCCAGGAGTTCTGGGCTGTAGCGCGCTATGCCGATCGGGTGTCCGCACTAAGTTCGGCCACCTCCCGCGAGCGGGGGACCACCAGGTTGCCTAAGGAGGGATGAACCGGCCCAGGTCGGAAACAGAGCAGGTCAAAACTCCCATGCTGATCAGTGGGATTCGAGCCTGTGAATAGCCACTGCACTCCAGCCTGGGCAACAGAGCGAGACCCCTTCTCTTAAAAAAAAAAAAAAAAAAAAAAAGAAAGAAAAAGAAGTAAAAGAAAGTTTCACACATTGGGCATCTTTCCTTCCTTAGTATTGTTGTACTGGATCGAGCGTAGAAAGTTAGCACCAAGACAAAAGTATGCCAGATTGCAGGGTCATTTATTATGCCGGTGATCACAGAGGACTCACGTCTCTCCAACCTGTGGCGTCAAAAGGAGGCTGCCAAGACTTTTTATACCCGAAAAACCACCTTGGGAGTGGGGGTGAGGAGCGGGGATGGGGATGAAAAGGCTTCAGACATTCCAAGGTCCAGGGGATTCTGTAATTCACCTCCTGGGCGGAGATGAGGAGGATCTTGGGGGTCTCCGGACATTCCAAGGGCCAGGGGACTTTTGTCATTCTGTTTGTTACTTCAGTGGTTTACAGAAGTCAAGATAAGCATTTGTTTACACACAGATCTTAGTTATCCTGGGCTGCTTATTTTAGTTCTTACCGGTAAGCAAAGGCTAGCAATTCTGGCACAATATCACAGTATTTTCTGTAATAATTTAGGAAATAAAGTAACAATGTTTTGGCCATCAAAACCTGAATGCAAATGAAGAATGGTCCCCTAAGTTAAAAACATGAACCTGGAGAGATTGTGTTGTGATAGAGGCTGAGGTGCTGCACAGCAATTCCTATGGAACTATTATTGATTATTGGTCCCCTGGGGGATACTTAGCAATGATTGCACCAGTCAGTCCTCTTAGAGTGATATGGAATTCAGATGGCAGATAAAGAACTGCAATTACTTAGAATTTATACATACTGAGATCAACAACTCAATTGTCTGGACAAATGGGGAATTAATAGAGCCACAACCAAAACTAATATGGCCAATGATAAGAGCTGGATAAAAACTTTGAAAAATACCTATGGCCCTAAAACCAGTAAAAGTCCAGGAAGGAAAATAGAAAATCAGGCCCTAGTTCTCATTCATTGGAAGTTTACAAGAAATTTTAAAAAGTTCTTTAGATTCAGAGCTATGCTAAACCCCCTATATCTTTTGGTGGTAGCAGAGTTACAGGTTAACTTTAGGAACTCTAAAAAGTATGATGAGACTGAACATAATCAGGAGAGAATAAATCAACACCTGGAAAGGACTTTAGACAGCAAGCAAGGTGGAGGGACCCAGAGGGCCCTCAACGCCCCTTTTTAGAAGGAATTAGCTACAGGAGAACGACTTTGCCCTATTTTCCAAAAGATTTCTGGGTCCCAACTCCTTAAGAAAAAAATGTAAGAGTAGGTAGTCAGTCAGGTTCCGAGGTGCTTGAGGAAGCTGTTGATGGATTGGCAGCCCTAAAATTTGGATGAAAACACTTGGAGGATCTATGATTACTGTTATGATTGTGTTATTAATCTGTTCTGTTTCTCTTTGTGTAGTCTGCAGGTGTAGATCCAAAAGCCTCCAAGAAATGGTTCACCAAGATAGAGCTGTGCTTGCTTACCTAGCTTTGTGAAACAAAGAAGGGGGAAGAGGCTGAGAAACATTAAGTTTACCCTGCCCCCCATGGCTCCTTTATGGAGGGACCTTTTAGCTTGTAATTAGTGGTAGGCAGGTGACAGCTGCCTACTTGGTATATTCTTGAGTTATGTGTATATGTAGAACACCTGTGTGTTAATAAGGATCACCTGTCAAAGAGCAAATATGTGGATGAATCTCTGCTCAGGGCCTTCAGTTCTGGAGAGCTACAAGTGTGATTACCTACCTTTTGTTAGCCTAACTGACTCTCTCTTTCTCAGCAAAGAGCTGTTCAGACTCTACGTTAGCTTCTTGAGCCGGACAGACTCCATGTTAGCTTCTTTACTTGCTCCTCCTTCTCTTCCCTGACTCTGAGCACGTAGCTGGGTTAAGCTGACTCCAAGCAGACCCAGGGATTACAAGCGTCTTCCTGTAATCCCAGCTACTTGGGAGGATGAAGCATGAGAATCACTTGAACTCAGGAAGCGGAAGTTGCAGTGAGCCAAGATCACGCCACTGCACTCCAGCCTGGATGACCGAGCAAAAACTCCATCTCAAAAAAAAAAAAAAAAAAGTTCCCTTTCAACGCCTGTTTATTTATCCCATAAATATTTATTAAATGATTCTAAGTCTTTTTTCTTTTTTTTTTTTTTTTTGAGACGGAGTTTCGCTCTTGTTACCCAGGCTGGAGTGCAATGGCACGATCTCGGCTCACCGCAACCTCCGCCTCCTGGGTTCAGGCAATTCTCCTGCCTCAGCCTCCTGAGTAGCTGGGATTACAGGCACGCACCACCATGCCCAGCTAATTTTTTTGTATTTTTAGTAGAGACGGGGTTTCACCATGTTTACCAGGATGGTCTCGATCTCTTGACCTCGTGATCCACCCGCCTCGGCCTCCCAAAGTGCTGGGATTACAGGCTTGAGCCACCGCGCCCGGCCTCTAAGTCTTTTTTCTTTCTTTTTTTTTTTTTAATGATTCTAAGTCCTAGGGCTGCAGAGGTGAAGAAGAGAGACTAGGTCATCTTACATCCAGCGGAGGATGTTCGGATGTCAGAAAGGGTAGGGTGGTGGCTTTTTCCAGGCAGGCTAAAGAAGGGAGGTCACAATGGGTACTTTGTGATGAGATCTGTCCTATAGCTGGGGACACCAAGGACCCTACTGAGAGGTATTCCTGCCCCCCGCAGGACTCACCACATGCTGTCTCTCTGCCCTGGCCTCTTCTACCCCATGCACAGTTGTAGTCCTTTTTGGGGGTGAGCAAATGGATAGTGAGGCAGGAGAGGAGGGAGGGGTTGAAGGAGATGAGGGGTGTTGGGATGGGGAGCGTGGAGGCCGACAGGACAGAGGGAAGCTGGTGTTGTATGTGGCCCCAGCCCCTCATCCTTCCAGGTAGAGAAGCCAGTCTGCGGCCCGCCACGGAACCACTGCCTGGGACAGACATGAAGCGCTGGCAGATTTTTGTCCTGTGGATCTTTTGGGTGCTCATCCTCTGGCTGATGGCCCCCTATCTGGATCTGACACCTGAATCAGCACCCCAGGGGAAACGAATGTACTTGGTTCCACGGCGTTACAACTGCCCCCGGTTCGGTTTCGGGACATTTCGCTGCCCTTCTGAGACCCTCAACTGCTCCTCCTGCCCCCACCCAGCCGCAGAATGGAACTGGCTTGATGTGTGCTCCAGGAAGACCATGGGGTACCTGATGAGGACCAGGGAGTCTATGACCTCTGACACTGTGCTCTGGTGGTTGGTCAGTGGTCAACACTGGGCCCGTCCCATCCCTGTGCTTCCCAGGCCTCACCCGTCTCCCACTTTCCAGCCCAACCCCCTGGCCTCAGCTCTGTCTTCACAGCCCCTGGATGGAGATCTTTCCACCCAGCTGTGTTTTCCTTCCCCTGGGCCCAGCCCTCAGTCTCCTCCCTCCTGCTGTTTGCAGGGCATGAACTCGGGGAGCAAGCTTGGGAAATTATGGAAGAAGCTGCTTAAAGTGATTCCCAGGCTCTCGGTGAACGATTTTGATTTTTACTGTGGGACTTGTGTGCTGTTGGGGCACCCACAGATCCTGCAGGGCTCCAGCCTTGGCAATGACATCAACCAATACCCCGTGGTTTTCAGGTGGGTGCTGGGGAGAGGGTGGGAGCAGGAGGGCCAGCCAGGCCTGCCCCACAGTTCTGTCAGTTTCTGCTCCCCTTCCCAAGATGAAGTGGTCCCCAGTCCAGGGCTTTGAGATGGACTGGGGAACCAAACCACACATAATGCTTCATCTATCCCAGGAATGCCAGTGACCAGGGTTCCTGGATGCAGCTGAAGATGTTGCTGCGGAAGCTCTCTGAGCTGGTGTGGACTTCAGGTGCTCTGAGTGATGAGGTGATGGAAGAGGGGTCCCCAAACATTCCCTGTGTGGGGGTGAGGGGAGGTCACCACAGGGAATAGCAGCAGGGGCTCTGGGAAGCCCCTTTATTGGCTTACTGGGGATACTTGCAAGACTTTCCCAGGTCTTGGGGCCCAGACTCCCCCAACTCCTGTTGTACCTGAGTGAGTAAAGAAATGCGCCACACTCTGAGACTCAATAAAGAGTCCTTTATTGCCGGTGACCAAGAGACGGCTAATGCCCAAAATTCTCTCAGCCCCGGAGAAAGAGCTGGGTGGTTTTCTTATATGCTAGTTTCAAAGGGGATGGGGGACCTAACTTAAGCAATTTTTCACAAAAGCAGAGCAAGCAAGTTAAAAGATAAACTAAGGCCGGGCGCGGTGGCTCACGCCTGTAATCCCAGCACTTTGGGAGGCCGAGGCGGGTGGATCACGAGGTCAAGAGATCGAGACCATCCTGGTCAACACGGTGAAACCCCGTCTCTACTAAAACTACAAAAAATCAGCTGGGCATGGTGGCGTGTGCCTGTAATCCCAGCTACTCAGGAGGCTGAGGCAGGAGAATTGCCTGAACCCAGGAGGCGGAGGTTGTGGTGAGCCGAGATCGCGCCATTGCACTCCAGCCTGGGTAACGAGAGTGAAACTCCGTCTCAAAAAAAAAAAAAAAAAAAAGATAAACTAGGACATAAGAAGTAAACAGTTCCAGGTGCAGGGGCTTAAGCTGTCACAAAAGACATACAACTTATAGATATGGGGGCTCTGGGTACTTAGCAACATCTGCATTCCCAGGGGCTGCTGGTACCGCTTGACTTGGTGTCTTATCGGTAAATGCATTCCTGTGTGTGCCTGGTGTCATCTTGCCCCAGCTACACACTACAGCTACATACTTAATGGAAGGAAAATAACTCTAAGTGAAGAAGCTAAGATGGAGTCTGTCCAGCTCCTTTAATTAAGAATGAGTTGATTAGGCTAACACAGGGCAGGTTAACACACTCCAATTCTTTCTCAGATTTTGGAAGATGGTCCAGTTCCCTAGTGGAGCGGAAGATAGCAAAGACATGGTGAGGGGGGATAGGAGAAGGGGTAGGATGTGGCTGTGGGTTGCTGGGAAAGGGCCCCAGGTCAGTCCCCTCCTGCTTCCTCCCCAGGGGCAACCAGGGAAACTGGCTGCATTCCCAGGGTGAGGGTCATCCCTGGGGCCCAGGGCTCTGTTCCGTGTCTTGCACAACTGTGCCCAGGAAAGAAAGATTCTTGTAACTTCTCTTAAAATTCCTGTCCTCAATGCCTTCAGCATGGAGTCTAAAGTTTTCTGCCTGGCTTTCAAGACTCTACATTTAGGCCGGGCATGGTGGCTCACGCCTGTAATCCCAGCACTTTGCAAGGCCAAGGCAAGTGAATCACCTGAGGTCAGGAGTTGGAGACAAGCCTGGCCAACACGGTGAAACCCTGTCTCTGCTACAAATATAAACATTAGCCGGGCGTGGTGGTGGGTGCCTGTAATCCCAGCTACTTGGAAGATTGAGACAGGAGAATCGCTTGAACCTGGGAGGCGGAGGTTGCAGTGAGCTGAGACTGCACCACTGCTCCAGCCTGGGCAGCAAGAGTGAAACATCATCTCAAAAAAAAAAAAAAAAAAGACTCTACATGTTCTGACCCCTCCCCTCGCCTCCTGTCTCCCAGGCTTTCGTATGGGCTCTTAGAATTCCCTAAACACACGAGCTGCCCCATGCCTTCTCATGCTCCATTCCGTACGCCCTTCTCGTATGTCCTCAGGTGTTCCCCTCTCTTCCTCCACTGTCATGAAGAGAAACTAGTTGACATTCTCTTTTTGGGGCTCCTAGGTGACTGTAGGAGTGTGTTTATCTCACCATATCCAGAGTCTATTTCCTGGAAGAGGTGAGCTCCAGTCTCCTCCCAGCTCCAAGGGGCAACCTGTCATCCTAGGTGCTGCGTGAAGGGAGGCAGCGGTAAGGACAGGAGTCTACCTGCTGATGCACATGTCCCTCTCTCATCCACCAGGTCACCCTCTTTGGATTTGACTCAGAATAGCAAGGAAAGTGTTTCTATCACCGGGAGAAGGATAATCAGACCAAGGAAATACTGCCCACGTCCAGTGCAGAAGCAGAAATCGAAGTCATCCATCAGCTAGCAGGTGGACAAGCTCACTGTCCACCTGTGCTGCTTGGCTCAGTCCACACAAGTCCTATTTCTGGGGGGTAAAGGGCAAGAGGAAATTGTATGGAGATCAGCATGGTACTAAATAAAATCCTGGCCTGATTGTCTTACCTGCAAGCACAGTGTCTGGGAGGGATGGGCCAGACGTGCCTTCCAGATCTCAGGGGCAATACTTGAATTAATTTCTTTGCCTGGTCCCCTAGATCATGTGGGATGTGTAAGTTTAGATTCAATTTCATGCCAAGTGCAAACCCAGACTTTGAGTTGTTGGGGGAGGCCCTTTTTCCACTCCGATAAAAGAAGTAAGTAAACCTCCTTGTTCACCCACACTGGAGGGTGAGGTTTTTTCTTTTTTTTTTTTTTTTTTTTTTTGCTACCCCAGCTTTTCACAGAAGGTTTAGCATTTGAGGTTCCCAGTTTTTTTTAGGTGTCTCAGTTCCAATTCCAATTCCAATTTTTTTTTTTTTTTTTAGACTGAGTCTTGCTCTGTCACCCAGGCTGGTGTGCAGTGGCACAATCTTGGCTCACTGCAACCTCTGCCTCCTAGGTTCAAGTGATTCTTCTGCTTCAGCCTCCAAGTAGCCGGGAACAACAGGAGCGCACCATTTTTGTATTTTTAGTAGACATTTGGATAATTTTTGTATTTTTAGTAGAGATGGGGTTTTACCATGTTGCCTGAGCTGGTCTCAATCTCCTGATCTCGTGACCCACCTGCCGTGGCCTCCCAAAGTGCTGGGATTACAGGTGTGATCCTGTAATCCTGGTGTGATCCTGGGCTGCACCCAGCCTTTTGTTTGTTTGTTTGAGACAGGAGCTTGCTCTGTTGCCCAGGCTGGAATGCAGGGGCACAATCATGGCTTATTGCAGCCTCAACGTCCTGGGCTCAAGGGATCCTCCCACCTCAGTCTCCTGAGTAGTTGGGACTACAAATGCATGTCACCACACCCAGTTAATTTTAATTTTTTTTCTGTAGAGAGGGGATCTTGCTATGTTAGCCAGGCTGGTCTTAAACTCCTTGGCTTAAGCAATTCTCCTGCCTTGGCCTCCCAAAGTGCTGGGATTACAGGTGTGAGTCACTGTGCCTAGCCGTTACAGTGTTACTTCTACAGCATTGATCTGAAGCATACTTCAGATCAAGTCGTAAAGTGACCCAAGATCCAAGAAGTGCAGAAATTAACTGCTCTTCCTAATGGAAAGAGCTGAAAAGAATCTGGTCAAGGGCCCAGTTGTGTTGGTAGCAGTGGTGGCATTCCAGGCGGGCCATTCCTGGAGTAATCTTTGGCCATGTTTTGCCTCTCATGATGATGGACTGAGCCTCGTTCTCCAGTTTTTGCATCATCCTGTAAACTACTAAATATTTAGCCAGTGAATTGTTTTCCTCTGAAGTTTACCAATCTGTTGATCAAGACCAAGAATTCAACTGCTGTAATTAACAAAGAATAAAAATATCGGACTCTTGACAGGGCATGGTGGCTCACACCTGTAATCCCAGCATGTTGCCAGGCTGAGGCAGGAGGATTGTTGTGCCTGGGAAATTCCTGCGTAATTCACCCCTTAATTTGCATGTAATAATTGCGTTAAGCATGGGCAATTCTTTGTCTAGTGATAGTTCTTTGTATGTGAAAGTGCTGCTTGCACTCCTTAAGGGTAAAAGACGTTGTGTACATAAAGAGCAGCTAGAAAATTTTCTACACTTTGTGCAGCAGATTTTTTTTTTTTTTTTTTAGACGGAGATTCGCTCGTTACCCAGGCTGGAGTACAATGGCGCGATCTTGGTTCACTGCAACCTCCGCCTCTTGGGTTCAGGCAATTCTCCTGCCTCAGCCTCCTGAGTAGCTGGGATTACAGGCACACGCCACCATGCCCAGCTAATTTTTTGTATTTTTAGTAGAGACGGGGTTTTACCGTGTTGACCAGGATGGTCTCGATCTCTTGACCTCGTGATCCACCCGCCTCGGCCTCCCAAAGTGCTGGGATTACAGGTGTGAACCACCGCGCCTGGCTTTTTTTTTTTTTTTTAAGACGGGGTTTCACCATGTTGGTCAGGCTGGTCTTGAACTCCCGACCTCAGGTGATCCGCCCACTTTGGCCTCCAAAGTGCTTGGATTACAGGTGTGAGCCACCACGCCTGGTACAATATTTTATTATCATTTAACCTCAGGATATTCAGACCAACAGAATTGTATTACTGCTCTTTCTAACACACTGAGGGGAGTTCAGGCTATCTTGGCATCTCCTAAAGGCCAGGAGACAAGTGAAGATGCCCAGGCCGCCGAGCCTTCTGCCCCACGTATGGACTTCCCTCTGCCACCCCAAGTCTTACTTGAAACTGCCTCCTCTTTTGAGGAGGAGGGTGATGGAGACAGCTCAGAAGAGCCTCCGCCCCCAAAATATCAACAAAAATTAGAGGATGAAATAACTAGAGAGAAGCAGGACCGTTGGCCTCAAAGGTTTGCAGCTCTTAATTTTACTGACCCAAAGCCCAGGGAGCTCATACCAGAAAAATGCAAGGAACATAATATAACTCGTTTTAAGATCTCCCCCCTGCAGGCTGCTTAAGTGGGGCGATGGCACGAGGAGAGGATGTGGAGGGGTTTCAGGTTTGCCCCATGCTAGTATGTCCAGACCCTAATAATCCAGGACAGATGCTGAGACAGCATGATCCTTTGTCTTTTAAATTACACAGAGATTTAAAAACAGCTTCAGCCTCTTATGGACCTACTTCCTCATTTGTGATAACTCTCTTGGACGCCTTGGCCCATGATGCCTTGGCCCCTAAGGATTGGTATAACCTTGCAAAAGCATGCTTGGATCCAAGAGATTATCTAAGATGGGAATATGATTACCATGATAGATGTAGTCAGCAGGCTGAGCACAATACAGCTCATGATGTGAATATATCTATGGATATTTAGTGAGTAATAAAAACTTTGAGCCCTTACAAAATCAGTTTGGCTATCCTTTAAAGGCTTATTGACAAATAAATATTTGTACTGCACAGACTTGGAGGTCTCTTCCAACCAAAGGTGAAAAGTCCCAAAAATTTAGTAAAATTGTCCAGGAACCAGAGGAACCATATGCAGACTTCATTGCCCACCTGCTTCAGGCAGTAGGATGGCTTATAGCTGACCCAAAAACCAACAATGTGTTAGGAAAGCAAATGGCTTTTAAAAATGCCAACAAAACATGCCAAGCCATTTTGCAACCTTACAAGACTAAGGCTACTCTAAATGACTTCATTCGCCTTTGTGCAGATGTTGGTTTGGCATATGTCCAAAAATTGACTTTAGCCTCCACTCTTCAGGGTAAACCTCCAGGACAATGTCCTAAAAATAAATCTAGAACTTGTTTCCAGTGTGGCAAAAAGGGACATTTTACCTGGGAGCGCAGGGCAGTGATAGAGGCCACTGCCCCCGAAACTGTGGGGGCTGGTTGTTGGGCATAGTGGTCTTACTTCAAAAGATTTTTTAGTACTACCTGGAGTTATAAATACTAATTACACAGGTGAAATTTTAGTCCAGACAAATGGAGATTATTGCAAGATTTGCGATCCATTAATGCCACAATGCAGCCTATGGGTGCTCTGCCACCAGGTTTACCCACTCCAACTGCTATTCCATTAGATTATCATCTTTTGGTTCTGGATCTTAAAGATGCCTTTTTTACCATCCCCTTATATCCAGACGACCAGGAATATTTTGCATTCTTGGTACCTTCCCCAAATTTTCAAGCACCTGTTAAACAATATTGTTGACAAGCCCTTCCTCAAGAAATGGCTACAGCCCAACTCTGTCAGTCCTTTGTAACAGTTACTTTAAAATCTACTAGACAAAAATATAAATCAGCATATATCATTCATTATATAGATGATATTCTTGTGGCACATTCATCTGAAAAAACTTTAAGACAAATTTTTGGGGACTTGGACTTGGCCCTTAGTCTGGTCTGATGGTGGTACCAAAAAAAGTGTAAAAATTGGCTCCTGTTAAGTATCTAGGAACAATCATTT